CTTTACGTCTGTGTCATTGTAAAAAAAAAAAAAAGAAGAAAATACCTGTTTCCCTCTTCCCCCTCCCCCTAACAAAACCCTTTACATAGAAGATTAAATGTCATAGTTAATGTTTTCACCTCTAGGTTTCCCAAGAATTTTTCTACATGATAAGTTGCTTTAAACATCAAAACGAATTTCAGTTTCTTTTAGCATCAATACGCCTTGTTCACCGTGTTATTTATATAGCTGACCAGAAGCCTTCGAGAGATAGACATAGGATAAAGAAAACTTTGACCTTACCTGCTCCCTAATGTGCTCGCAGCCAGGAGAAAGAAAAAAAAAAAAAAAAAAAAAAAAAAAGCAAAAGCAAAAGGAGGGGGGAAAAAAAAAGTAGAAGAAGAAGAAGTCATTTCGTATTATTCACCACTTTGCCAGAGACGGTAATTTCTCTGCTTCATAGGAACAGCTGTACTGGGTCAGATCTCTGTACACATTGGATACATATAAACAGTATTACCATTTACTTAGGGTTTGGAGGGTTTTTCCCCCCTGAAGGGGCTCATGAGAGGAACAGCGGGTCAGACAGGAAAAAAAAAAAGGTATTTCTCAGCTTTGCTCCCAACACGACCATGAAAGGACTGAAATTCTTCAGAAGTCACTCGGTCTTTACCCCTAAGCCCCCTTTGTAAGAGCAGCCGTCACGACAAGTTGGACCGGGGCTGCTTCCCAGCGAGTCCCCTCTACCTGCGCTCCACCACGAAACTCCTAAAATACTTTTTTTTCCCCCTCTTTTTCTCCCCCCTCCCTGTGGCAACTTCTCTTGGTGTCATCTCAGAGCTGTCTCAGGTTACATTGTTTGGGATCTGCACTTTGAGCACTGTCTTTTGAACCGAGATGCAGGCAATATATGCATAGATCAGCTCCCCATCTCTGTTCCTCCCCCTCCCCTTCCAGCAGGAGCGGTCCCAGCTCAGCGCTGCTCCATCAGCCGCCGGTGCAGGCCCCGGCGCCGAAGCCTCCCCCTAGCCTTTCCTTCCAGTATCCCTGATGCTACCAGACTACTGTGACAAAATAAAAAACTAACCCAAATCCATCCCACAACCCGTTTTGATATGAAACAGCAACTATGAAGAAGCCTTTTGCCATTGTTGCTGGTGGTGTGGCGGTGGTAGTGGTGGCGATGGGGGTTTGTTGCTTTTTGGGTTTTGGGGTTTTTTTGCACAGCCTGCTGTGCCACTACACGCACACTTCATGGCACTCAAGCATGAACTCCTATTTACAGCAAGGAATAAATGCCCTCCTCGATTCTCCTACATTTGGAGGCAGTGCCAGGGAGTGGAGGAGCGGGAGGGCATAGCCATTCTGCACCAGATCCCTCCTTCTCTCCAAAGATGGGGTGCCCACCGTCCCACGTTGATAAAGCAGTTGTTACACGGAGAAACTTACATTTCTTCCATCATTTCAGATTTGAATCATGCTGCCCCTCCCCTTCTCCACTCCATTATCCAAGTTCTGCATTGATTACCAGGAGACTGAAAATCAGCGTATTGGAAGAAGCAGGAGTTTAAACGGAGGCACATACTTTAATTTAGACAAGCTGTACAGTGACTAAGTTCTCGTGAGTGTTCTCGAGGGACACTGGAGATTAAAATATATTTACACCCCACCCACCCCCGAGATATCTTCATCCCAACCAAGGCATAACTGGTTTATACAAAGAATTTTATGATAAAAGGCAATAACACAATGTATAAAAAACCCCTATAAAATTGTTAAAGAGCAGTTGTTTGCATTTCTCTTGATTGATATGTAAATACAGTTTGAACTGTGTTTGCTCGGTCTCTAGTGCTTAATAAAGAGATGAATTCACCTTTCTGTGGAACAAGTAAACAGACTTTAAACTAAGCCGACATCAGACAAAGTGGAAACGAGTTTATTTAATCGAAACTAAATCTAGTTTAAGAAAGATAAGTCAGTGTACATAATAATCCATTACAGTAATTACACCCACCACCAAATATGTGTTTATGAGGTTGTCGAGACACAATAAAATTCATTTATTTCCCTCGAAGTCTATAATGAAAAGTCACTGGCTGGATCTCTATCGAACATGCTAACTCCAATATTGGGGGGGAGGGGGGATATACTATTTCTCGGCTGTAACAATGCCTTTCAGTGTTCTTCACTTTTGAAAGTTCCTGTATTTGGAAGGATATGAACGTTAATTACATCTGAAGGGGAAGTGTTGACTTAACCACCGCACTTTCCCATTGGTCTTGAATATTAACTCCAGGAGAAACTAACCCTAATTTAAAAAATCCTTAGAGTTAAGCCTGCTCTCGCTCCCTCGGCTGGAGCTGCAGCGATGAACCACGGACGTTCCCAACACTTCCTGCTTTTAGCAGAAATAACAGCACTAAGCTCCAGATCCCTCCCGCCATGCTTAACATGGTACTATAGATCTGAAACGAGTATTTTGCGTAAAGAAAGGAAAAAAATAAGTCAAGGAATATTCTTTGGGTTCGTTGGGAATGTCGCTGTATAAAGCATGACATAGTATAAAGAATGAAAGGTCTCGAAATTCCTGTTGACACACGTGATGTTCTCCAGTTAGAAATAAAAAAGGAGGGGGGGGGGGGGGGCAGAAAGAATCCGATAATCTCTTTTTTTTTTTTTTTCTATTTCCTTTTTTCTCCATCCAGACTAGCACTTGGTGTCCGAGTACCACCGGCTATCTTGGATAAATAAAAGACTGGAGCTTTCGAAAGCTGCTACTTAAACTGGAGGTTGGGTTGTTTCTATCCCGGGAAAGCTGCTTGCTTTCTCTTCAAATATATGAACATTTCATAATACCTCTGTAATTCAGGCATCTTTCAATGACCGCGATTCGCTTCCATGGTTTAACAGAGGGGATGTGAACGGGTGGGAGAAACAAAACCAAACCAAAACCAAACAAACAAAAAAACAAAAAAACAACTAAAACCCAAAACAAAACATCAAGAAAAACCCAAAAAAACCCCCCCCAAAAAACACAACAAACCTCCAAGCAGCAGATGCGAAGGAGAACATGCTACGAGGTCTCTTTCAGGACGGGGGACTTCTTATTCTGTTACACTCATGAAAGGGGTATTTGGGACCCGAAAGACAAAGAACTAAATGTATTTCGGGCTTGTCCGATACGAACTGCTTAGCTTGATACGCTTTATATATTTACAGCAAAGTTAAAATCTAACTACCGTGCATCGCCCACAATACTCACCTTCCTACCAACCGCCCCTCCGTACCTCAGACGGGCACGCACCCCGCGCACACGCTCACACACACACGTGCACACACACGCACTTTCTCCTCATGTCCTCCTTTACAAGCTTCCCAAATGGCTACACACACAAAAAAAAGCCCCAAACCCCAAGCAAAGCCGATGTGCATTCGCCTGGGGTGCAGCCTGCAGCTGATCTCTCGCCGGGGCAGTGAGGTGGAGGTGTGCGGGAGGAACTGCACGGTCGTGTCTGTGTGTCTGCGTGTCTGCGTGCCTGTGTGTCTGGGTGTGTGTGCTTGCAGGGCTGGGTATGCGCAGAAAATTAAACACAGTCTGTTAAAGAAAGTTAATTCAAACTACATGTAGTACGCAATAAACTATCCTTTTATTTTGATTATAAATAAGATGACTGTACTTCCCTTAAAATACAAGTACATAGGAAAACCTGGTAGAAATTATTATCCTTTTTTTTTTTTTTAAACAAGTTATTAAAACTGGATGCTCTTTAAATCGGCCGCATGTTCTATACTGTCAGCAGGTTCTTCATTAATTTGTTTCTAGTGGCGTTAGACTTCTACCTTCATTCTCCTCCGTGCCTTTGGCATTTGAATTTCTAATCTTGGAACACTTTGCTTTCTCTAGCAAGAAGTCTCTAAGGTGGCCCCCACCCTTCACCCCCCCAATTATCGGGCTAATGAATTTTGACTCGATCCCTTCGCTCTCGAGTTTGCAAATCCCACGCTTTTGCTGGTCACTTTGGAGGCTGAGGACTGAGCCTGTATCCTGTTAACTCCCTGTCGCAGCTCCCCTTCGGAACCAGGGGCCAGGCCACGGTGGGGGCGGGGGCCTCTCGGGGCTTGGCATCATTCCGGGGGGGTTCTATCAACCAAAAAAAGAAAAAAGGAAGGGGGAAAGGAAAGGAAAGGAAAAAAAAAAAAAAAAGAAAAAATATCTGGGGGAGGGTCGAGAGGGGGAACCAAACGGAAATAAAAAAAGAATATTCGTAATGTGTATAATTTATTAGAAGCTTCTTAGGAACTATATTTAAGCCAAATATCTACATAAGTTACAACAGGAAAAGGCGGCGTGCGCAAATAACAAACTGCCAGAGGATTTACGACGGGACGATCAGTGTCCATAAAAAAGGTGGGGGTTGGTTTGGTTGATTGTATTTTTTTTCTTTTTCTTTATACAACAAAATATACAGGCTACTAAAAACTATGGGTTTAGTCCAACTTTTGACAGCATTATACAGCTACAGGTTCACATCAAACGTAAGGAGGAAAATAAAAGCCAAGCCTTTGATGACTCCACATCTCCATCCGCTGGCCCTGGTGGCGGGACTGCCGGAGGAGACGGGGATGGGGGGGTGGGGGAAGCTGCTTCTTGTGTCTGGGTGACGCGAATGCGTTTTTTGGGGGGGAAAACCACCCCATCCCCCAAAATATCTATATTTACATGCAAGTCCTAGACGCTGGCAAAGAGTACATCTGAAATCCAAGCCTTCGGACCATGCCTAACGATGGTCCCCTTTCTGCAGACTGCTCCGTGGTTATTAGTCAGAATTTCTTTAACACCCCATACAACAATATTGGGGTTAAAAAAAAAAACAAAATGAAAGCACCCAAAACCATCAGGAGTAACAACAAAACCGAACAACAACAAAAAAGTCTCTCTTTCTCTCACTCTTAGAGGTCCTCAGAGAACCACTCAGAAAAATGAAGGGGGGTGGGGAGCGTTGAAAAGGGAAGGAAAAAAAGAAAAGAAAATAAAGAAAATAAAGACACCCAGTAGTTTGGACAAGACAGAGATTTGTGTGACTGGGAAAATCTGCCTTTTTTTTTTCTTTCTTTTTTCCCCCTTTTTTTTTTTTCTTTTGCTCTGTTTAATCCTTTCACCAGGTCCTACCGTATAGCAAGGTGGAGCAAGACATGGCAGTGCCATAGTCAGAAGTAGAAGAGTTTAGGTGAGACAAACTGGAGACTTGGCTCTGCAGAGAGGACGGGCTGGCCGAGTGCTGTCCCATATCTGGAGACTGCCCCGCACTGTTTGTCTGGTGGCTCTGATGCTGTCCGAGGCTGTTGCCATTGGTAGCCACCGTGATCGTTGTAGCTGCCTGCTGCTGATGGCTCTGGATAGCTGCTGTGGGTGTGTTGGAGCCTGCTTGGCAGGGCTTACCATCCTTTACAAGCACTGGCACCGCCACCCTTCTGGGAGACTGCTGCTGCTGGCAGGAGCCGTTCTCCTGTTGCATCTGCTGCTGCGCAGCTTTGTCTTTGGCCTGGCGTTTCATCTTGTAGCGGTGGTTCTGGAACCAGATTTTGACCTGAGTCGGGGTGAGATGTATCATGCTGGCTAAATGTTCCCTCTCCGGAGCGGAGAGGTATTTCTGCTGCTTGAAACGTCTCTCCAGCTCGTAAACCTGGGCCTGGGAAAAAAGGACCCTCCGTTTCCTCCGCGGCGTGCTCTGGAGCGGGGCCATGCTCTTGCTCACGTCTCCCAGGGAGCCGAGGCTGCCCATGCCGCCCATGTTCATGCCCGAGGACGGCGCCATGAAGCGGGAGACTGCAAGGGAGAAGGCGGCACGGTTTAGGCGGCTGCTCTGGAGCGGGGCCATGCTCTTGCTCACGTCTCCCAGGGAGCCGAGGCTGCCCATGCCGCCCATGTTCATGCCCGAGGACGGCGCCATGAAGCGGGAGACTGCAAGGGAGAAGGCGGCACGGTTTAGGCGGCT